ATACATGAGAAAAAGAAAGATAAAAAGTAGCAAAGAAGTCAGCAAATAGTCACTTGAGTGAGACCTCAGTTGAGTAGAAAACATACCAGACTTCTAACAAGAAGATCCAGGATCAAATCCCGGCCATTACCAACACAGAAAATTGTGCTTCTCGGGACTTCCCTGAAGATAGCAGCAGATTAGCAGAAGAAAGTTTGGCTAAAATGTTGTTAGTAATAATTATTTAATTAATAATAATAATAAAAGTTAATAATTAAATTTAGTTGATTGTATAAGCAACTAAATATGACCATATTTGATATATGATCATCACAACCTTACTCTAACTACTTAAGTACAAGTTATAAACTAAGTCACCCTTAAGATTTCATTTTTCGCATAGAATATGAAAATGAACCTGCATGGTCGTTTACAAAGCCCGGATTCACTGCTCTTGCACACCCATCAAATCTTAACATTGGTACAAAGCACGGAGTCTATGTCCTGCCTCCTTTGGAATTCACTTCTAAAACATGCTTTCTCAGTTCTTGCAGTCTAGTTCTGCAGAAACCCACAGAGGCAGTAATGAGAGAGAAAGGTGCTGTGGTTACCATATCCACTCCAGGTAAGATAATGAGTATTTTAAATTTAATGCTTATATAGCTTTGTCAGGAACTATTTTCATCGTTAAGTGATATGAATTTATTGATTTTTAAATATAATTTTTCTTGTAGCTTTGAGTATGTGGTTATGAGTTTTCACATTGGTCCTTATTTGTTGTTGAGAAAAAACATATATTAGTTATATATGTGTACATCACTAGTTTTTGTATTATGAGCTCAGTGTGTTTTAATTACATAATTATTTTTGAGTAGGTTATTATTACCTGCAAAAAGTTTCTATGTGGATATAAAAAGATTGCCAATATCAGTTTCTCAAAAAAAATTATGAATTTATGAAATTTTATGTAACATATATATATACATGTAATTTTAAAATGATAATAATATCCTTTTAATTGTAACATAAACAAAGTGTAGAAAAGTTATGGATTAAGTGTGATTATTGTTGTAGAGTTATGGCTGAAGCCCCCCAGTGGCACAGCGGTATGTACAAACAATCATATGTCATTCATATTTCTTAATGTGTTATAAGTTTACATTTTGTTCTTTATAAACAGCAGTGTAAATAAAAAAAATTAATGTTTTAAGTGGTATTTTGGATCAGTCATATAATTTAGACATTTTTTATGTATTTTCTGGTATTCTTTGCACCATACTCTTGATATGTGTTTTGACTCTTACAGAGGGTGATGAAGATATTGTATACAGTGATAGTGCTTTCTTCTTTTCCACTGAAGTAACAAAGAAAATGATAGACTTCTGTAGGGCAAACAAATCTTTTAGTTGTGAAATTGATGCCTATGGAGATTTCCTTCAGGCATTGGGTTCATGTGCTGTTCCAGATTACATTTACAACTCTTCCACTGTAGTTGATTCAACTGAGGAGCTAGTTACGGCTCGTCAAAGGATCTTTCATTTATTACAAGGTTGTGACTTGAATATTGTTGTATTACAGCAATCAAAATTCTATCATATGGGGACAATGACAGAGTATGTTGAGAATCTCTGTGCCAATTCCAGTTTTGCTAGAGAACTACAGCTTTCAAAATTTGCTGATTCTGCTTTTTGTGGTCCTTGTGCTGGAGAACTTATGATTAATGGTACTGTTATTCATTCTCTTATAAACAGGAGTTCTCAAGTAAGTAAAAATTCAGTTGTAGAATATTGTGATTTCCGAGTACCAACATATGTTTCAGAAAACTGTATCGTGAGTAACTGCAGAACAGAAAGCCTTGTATCTGGTGAAAGTTTCATTAAAGTTCCCTCATGTATTTTGCTTCATACAGTGGCAGTTACTATCAGTGGTCATCATGGTTATGTTACTGTTGCATTTAATTTTCATGATGATATTAAGAAAAAATATCCATGGGATGACAGAGGTAAAGTAATATTTTTAAACAAAAGACTAGAAGACATCCCAGCTTCACTGTTGGGAGTAAATATCTTGAAGGATTGTTTTGATTCTAAAGACAAGTTGTGTTCTTTGTGGGATGGTAAACTGTTTGAAGTTTGTTCTACCATGGAAGAATCATTTGGAGAGACTCTTCAAATGGTTAATGCAATAATGGGATGCCTTGATACCAGTAACACCCTCAATATAACATCGAGAAAAAATCCCAAGCTGTCCATGGTTGAAATTCTAAAATACAAAAACATAACTGCAATGCTAGATTTTCGTCAGAAATTACATGAAGAAATTTTGAAGTTTGACTCCACAAGTTAGTGGCTTAACCTGAAGTATTTCTTGCTAACTTTTGAAACAATATAAATTCTTGGTTTTCATTACATCAGATAAAGCATGTGAGATATTTGAGATTTTGAATGTTTAATTCATCTATGTTTTATTAAATTTTATTTGTCTGTTTGTATTTACTAAATATATTAATGTAATGTTAAAGTGTTATAAATAAACTTTAATCGTGAAATTAGTTTTTCGAAGGTCCAATACAATTATATGATAAAAGTAAATAATCTACAATATAGATTTTAATTAATAAAAGTGTATTCTTCTTGTTATTTTAATGTCAGTTTTGTAAAAATTACATTAAATATACATATTATTATGTTTCTTATAGTTTTTGAAATAATATTCAATTCCAAGTTTTTGCTTGAAGAGTTATATTTCTTAAATGGGGAAATAATCACCTGAACTTACTAAACTCTACTATGATGAACTGGAAGCCTGTGTTTTACAAAAATTGTCTTGTTTTTCAAAGATTCAGTTTGTGTAGGTGTTTTAACAACTAAAGGGAAAATGATAATTATTTAATCACTAGATATTCCTGTGTTTGATATTAAATTAATTGTGCTGCCAAATCCATAAGCTATTTGATTAAAAGAGTACAGGAAACAATTAAGTTTGTTTGGAATATGCCAAATGAATTTGAAGAAGAATCCTGTGCAGTAAATTTTAAGAACGTGATTTAAGAAGGTTAATCTCAGAATGTTTTGAAAGCTTTGAAATATTCTTGGATAAGAAGCGTTTATTAATAATTACACTTAGATTTATTTTATTTGTTATGAACTAATGGATATACAAACATATATCTTAAACTGTGGAACATCCTATAAATTATTGGAGATAATTAATTAAGAATATTTTTTGTATTGATATGTTCAAGTCCATTATTGACATGGAGCCTGTAAAGTTTTATATTCCAACTCAGAAACTTGTGTAAAAAAATCATCAATTAACCAAAAACTGTTGAGATGTTGATGAAAGATTATTAAACAAAGCTTTCTTTTCTGAAATAATAGTGTTACAAATGAAAAGTTACAAACAATACACAGTAAAATGGCTTTATGGATGGTTTAGTAAAATTAAAAGTTGCAAACAGTACACAGTAAATGCCTTTATAGATGGTTTAATGTAATTAAAACTTGCAAACAATATATGGAAAAATGCCTTAATGGATGATGTTAAATGGAAAGTACATCTTTTATAGACTGTTGGAAACTTAGTTTATAAATCTGTTTCAGAGTGTGATTTTATTTATTATTTCTTTAAATCCATTTTATATAATTCCTTGTGAGAAGTATGATACAAACAAGCTGCTTTTTTCTCACAAAAATCTGAATATTATAGAAAAATGTTATTATGACATTTTTCCCTGCTTTGGCATTATGCTTTATGTCTGAAGCACAAGTAAATGTAATATTGTCAGTATAATATGCTTGAGATTTAGAAATTGTACTTTTTATTAACTAAATACACAACCACAGGCTCCTGTTTACCACAGTATTGTGACATATTCAGAATTGTTTTTACTGTTAGTTAAAGTGCATCACGCGAAGAAATATTCAGTTAACACTTAAGCCAATTATTTGTCAGTTTAATGTTTGATAATATTTATTGGTATCGCAATATGTTTAATAATTGTTCAGGTTATTTTGTTGAGTAATATATATTTTTAATCTTTAAAACTTATAATCATACATATAATAATCATTCAGTACTGTATATTCATGTACTTGTATCTTTGTAATGATTCATTAAGTTTAAAAAGTTACATCTGGATGAAAGTAGTAAAGTTAAAGTATGAAACATCATTAACATACAAACTGTATTGCTGGGATATAGTGTAAAGTTATTGTTTGTCTACTGCATAACACACTGGCTTTTCATGATGCTTTTCATAGGGTTGTTTTTTTATGTAACACTTGCATTTATGCTTGATTTTTTGGGGTTATAGAAAATTAACACTTCATGGATATTTCAGTTGTTGGTATAAATTAGTTTCTAGAAAATGGAAATAAAAAGTTTCCTCTTGCAAATTTATGTAAGACACTTTTTTTTTGGCAGAACCAATTTTGATATTACAATATTTTATGTCTGTAACATCCCAGATGGAGAACAATAAATGTAAAATACAAATTGACTTTCATATCAGTTGAAAGTGTTTTATGTAAGACTTTACAATATATTAGAAAATCAGTACTTTAAGCTAAACATGGTTTATTTACTGACATGTATCAGGAACCATGTTTAAAAGGTGTGGATACAAGCTTACTGAAGTGATGAACAATTAAGAATATTTTCAGATCCCCCCATTCTTCAGCAGTTGACCTTGATCTATATAACTGACAATCACCCCAAAAAATTCTGTGGAACTCCAAGGGGATATTTCAGTACACTTTTCCTGATACTTTAAATTTCTCAGCCATTCTTATTCATCTTATTTGAGTGTTTTTTTTTTATATTAGCTGCCAAATTTACCCTAAGAAAATTCATTATGCAAAATACAAGTATTCCTAAGTTCAAAAGACAAGTAGTCCTAAGGAATACAACCATTACTTTTTGTAAGAGAGAGAAGAAATAATAACAATAAAACAATTATATTCTTTCAAGTCCTTTCAGTTAGCTTATTCATTCCAACTTTGGTGCACTATTACTTATATATTATTTAAGTACACCAATTTTCTAACTGTTAATTCTGTCCCTAACATTTTGGTCTGTTGTTTAAGAAACTGAGTAAAGTTTCTAAAGAAAGACCCATGTACACAGAAAGAGAGAGACATTTGGCTGGAAAGTTAAAGAAGGTGAATGACAGAAATTTTTGGTAAACCTGATTACTGTAGTAATAATATGGTATTGGATAGAAGTAGAAAAACTGTAAGCTCCAATTACATGTTTTTTTGACAAGTTGAGCCTACAAGATTAATAACATTCAATGAGAACATAGCTAATTATATTAAAAGCTTACAATTTAAGGTACTTGTGTATATCTATAAATAAATAAAACACTTAAACGATGAACATGTTTAAGTACACACTTTAAAAACTTTATTTTGAGACTGTTGACAGTCTCAAAACAGATAATATACATGTTTTGACATCCAATCATGTCATCCTCAGGAATATATAATCAAAATCAGTGCAAACCCTATATATACACTCACAAAAAGCCATTGGTTATGTGACTACTTAATTGAGATAGTGAACTTAAAGAAATCATGCCATCTGCATATTTCCTGACTTGCCAACCTTTCATCCTAATTTAAGATATGATAATTACATTCTCTGATATTTCCAGCTATCATATCATTTGATTGAGCCAAAATAAGACTTTTTTTTTCCTTGAATGACATGTTCAACTAGTGCAGTACTCAGATGAAAATGAATTTTAATAACATCAGCTCTTCTTTAAGAAATGCAACTCTTTTTCTCAACTGAACCAAGAACTATTACCTTATATCATTGCTAAAACAGTTTTTGTCCTTGTACCAATCCTTTAAATAAACTTCTCACCCCTACATGTAATAATTTGTACTGCACTAGTTTATGATGTAATTAGCATTAGACATTAGACCTCCATCAATAGGAGGGCAGCACATTCTATATGCACAGCCATCCTTCAGCACATTGTGTATACCAAAGGCTCATTCTTTCATTAGCACTACAGTGATTCAGACTTTTTTATTACAAATTATGGCCTTTTTACACTTAATATTTTACATTTTTAGTTAAGATTCAAAATGTTTATCTTTCTTTCCTTTATTTTCTTGATTTTAAGAAAGACAGATACAATTTTTTTAAATTTTCAATTAGAACTAATGATACGAATTATTATACATCAATTATACGTTATTACATTTATACATCTTACATCAATTACGGTTCCCTTGGTGGGTCAGTGATAAGTTTATTGCTCACAAGCTATCTATGTGGGGTTAAATTCTTCACAATGGACAGAATGCAGATGTGTACTCTTATGTGTCATCTGGTTGGCTCTTTCCCTCCTTTCTATTTCTTGAATCTTTTCTCCCAATTTGGGAATTTTCTTCTTTTCTTACTTTTTGCGATTTTTGTGGTCGTTTATTTGTAATTACCTTATTGACTTCCTTGCATGCGTATGTGTACTGCAGTGAAGCTTGTAGTTATTTCTCGATTTCTTGCTACCACAGGGTACTGAATTGATGGATCTTCAAAAAATTTGGTATGACGATTCACTAGTTCGTTGCACAACAAAATACAAAGTATCAATTTTCTACTCTTTGTTTTACGGGAGTTATGACAGATTTTGCGTTTTGTACCAGTACTTCGTCCCCTTTCAATGAATCTTTTCCAAATTTTGAATGAAGGTTCGTTGCGTCGTTGTGCATTTACATGCAAATTTTCAACTTTTCGGTATTATATTTACGATTTTTGTTGTCGTTTATTTGTAACTATTTTAGTGACTTCCCTGCATGCGTATGTGTACTGCAGTGAAGCTTTTTGTTACTAGTTGTTTCTCAATTTCTTGCTACCATAGGGAACTGAATTGATGGAGCTTCAAAAAATTTGTTATGAAGATTCACTAATTCGTTTTACGGGAGTTATAGCAGGTTTTCGTTTAGTACCAGTACTTCGTCTTCTTTCGACGGATCTTCTACAAATTTTGAATGAAGTTTCGTTGCATCGTTGCGCATTTTCATGCACATTTTCAACTTTGTAGTGCCAGTTTTGCGATTTTTGCGGTCGTTTTTTGTTACTACTTTATTGGCTTCCTGCATGCGTATGTGTACTACAGTGAAGCTTTTTGTTACAAGTTGTTTCTCTTATTTATTCTTACCACAGGGTACTGAATTGGTGGATCTTACCCAAATTTGGTATAGAGGTTCATTATTTTGTAGCATAGTAACATACAGAGTATCAACTTTCTACTCTTGGTTTTACGGGGGTTATGGCAAGTTTTGCATTTTGTATCAGTGCTTTGTCCATTTTCGAAAGATCTTCAATTTTTTGTTTGAAGGTTCGTTGTATCTTTGCGCATTTTCATGCAAATGTTGAACTTTGTAATATTAGTTTGGCGATTTTTTGTGGTCGTTTATTTGTTACTACTTTATTGGCTTCCATGCATGCGTATGTGTACTGCAGTGAAGCTGATTGTTACTACTTATTTTTGATTTCTTGCTACTGCATTGTAATGACTTGAAACATCTTCACCAAATTTGATATGTAGGTTCAGTAGTTCGTTGCGCAATTTACATGCAAAGTTACACCTTTCTACACTTCGTTTTACGGGAGTTATAGCAGGTTTTGGGTTTTTTACCAATACTTCGTCCCTTTCAACGGATCTTTTCCAAATTTTGAATGAAGGTTCGTTGCATCGTTGCGTATTTACATGCAAATTTTCAACTTTGTAGTATTATTTTTGCGATTTTTGTGGTCGTTGTTTTGTTACTACTTTATTGGCTTTCCTGCATGCGTATCTGTAGTCCAGTGAAGCTGAGTGTTAATACTTGTTTCTCGAATTCTTGCTTCAGCATACTTTTGAATTGAAACATCTTCCCCAAATTTGATATTTAGGTTCAGTAGTTCATTGCGCGGTTTACATGCAAAGTTTCACCTTTCTACACTTCTTTTAACGGGAGTTATAGCAGGTTTGTCGTTTTGTACCACTACGTCGTCCACTTTCGACAGATCTACTCCAACTTTTGTATGAAGTTTCGTTGCATCTTTACGGATTTACATGCAAAGTTTTAACTTTGTAGCATTAGTTTTGCGATTTTTGTGGTCGTTTTTTTGTCACTACTTTCTTGGCTTCCCTGCATGCGTATGTGTACTTTAGTGAAGCTATTTATTACTACTTGTTTCTCCATTTCTTGCTGCCACAGGGTATTGAATTGATGGATCTTCACCAAATTTGCTATGTAGGTTAACTAATTCGTTGCGCAGTTACATATAAAAGTTTAACTTCCCAAACTTCGTTTTACGGGAGTTATGGCAGGTTTTTCGTTTTGTAACAGTACTTCGTCCCCTTTCGATGAATCTTCTCCACATCTGGACTGAAGGTTCAATGCGTCGTTGCGAATTTTTATGCAAATTTTCAAATTCGTAGTGTTAGTTTGCGATTTTTGTGGTCGTTTATTTGTAACTACTTTATTGCCTTCATTGCATGCGTATGTGTACTCCAGTGAGGCTGATTGTTAATACTTATTTCCCGATTTCTTACTACCGCATTGTAGTGATTTGAAACATCTTCACCAAATTTTGTATGTACGTTCACTAATTCGTTGCGCTGTTTACATGCAAAGTTTCACCTTTCTACACTTCGTTTTACGGGAGTTATAGCAGGTTTTTTTCTTTTTGTACCAGTACTTCGTCCTTTTTAGACAGATCTTCTTCAAAATTTGAATGAAGGTTCGTTGCATCGTTGCGTATTTACATGCAAATTTTCAAATTTGTATTGTTAGTTTTGCGATTTTTATGGTCGTTTATTTGTTATTACTTTATTGGCTTCCTTGCAAACATATGTGTTCTCCAGTGAAGCTGATTGTTAATTCTTATTTCCCGATTTCTTACTACCGCATTGTAGTGATTTGAAACATCTTCACCAAATTTGGTATGTAGGTTCAGTAGTTCGTTGCGCAGTTACAAGCAAAGTTTCACCTTTCTACTCTTCGTTTTACGGGAGTTATAGCAGGTATTTCGTTTTGTACCAGTACTTCGTCCTCTTTCGACGGATTTTCTCCAAATTTGAAATGAAGGTTCATTGCATAGTTGCGCATTTACATGCAAGTTTTCAACTTTGTAGTATTGGTTTTGCGATTTTTGTGGTCGTTTATTTGTAACTACTTTATTGACTTTCCTAAATGCGTATGTGTATTGCAGTGAAGCCTTTAGTTACTAGATGTTTCTCGATTTCTTGTTACCACAGCTGACTGAACTGATGGATCTTCAAAAAATTTGGTAGGTAGGTTCACTAGTTCGTTGCACAGTAACATACAAAGTATCAACTTTCTACTTTTGTTTTACGGGAGTTATGGCAGGTTTTGCGTTTTGTACCAATACTTCGTCCGTTTCGATGGATCATTTCGCAATTACATGCAAATTTTGAAATTTGTAGCGTTCGTTTTGCGATTTTTGTGGTCGTTTTTTGTAACCTCTTTATACGCTTCTCTGCATGCATTTGTGTACTTCAGTGAAGCTGATTGTTACTATTTATTTCTCAATGTCTTGCTACCGCATTGTACTGAATTGAAATATCTTCACCAAATTTGATATGTAGGTTCACTATTTTCGTTGCACAGTTTACATGCAAAGTTTCACCTTTCTACACTTCGTTTTACGAGAGTTATAGAAGATTTTTCGTTTTGTACCAGTACTTCGTCCCCTTTCTACAGATCTTCTCCAAATTTCGAATGAAGGTTTG